ATATTTATTTCTTATTTTTAGTTATTTTTATTTATTTTATTTTTCTTTAAATAAAAGATCTTCTACTCAACACTCATTACTTTAAAATTTGCTACACCTTGATAGTTTTAGTAAATTTTATTACAATATTAAATTGATCTAATATCCTTTTTCTTTAGTTTGTTCTGATAACTTGATTGGTAATATCTCCAAAACTTTCAACCTAAAGGTTCTTGTCTGTTTGACTATTACAACTAGATATTATGAACTTGGTATCTATTTTTCAAGTTAGTTTTTACAATAAGGTTGTTAAAAATTTGATTACTTCTTTACTTAAATCTTTTAAATAAACTTTTTGTTATCTAATTTTAATAGATTTATATAACTACAAAAACTTATTTAGTGTTTGCATTACCTGATTTGTCAGTTTGCATTTCTCTATATAACTAGTTATACAGATGTTCCATGACCTGCTAGTTATTCTAATGTAACTACTATTACAGATATTTTAACCTAATTATTAGTAATAATTGCTATAATATGAATATTACATATGTGATTATCAAATTTCCAATATTGATAAAATTTTAATACACAATCTACTATTTGAAAGGTTGACAACTTGATCACTTCACTAGGTCACCACATCTTTCTTGTTATTTAGTTTATTTACCTATTCTTTCTAAAAGTATTTATAAACTTTTAATAATTTGACAGTACTGTTAAAAGTTCATATTACTTCTTTATTTAAAAATTTTTAAGTAACCTTCTAACTGTTTGGTTTTTTAATTTACTGTATCTAGTAATCTTATTGTAGGTTTGCATTAAAATCTTATGTAATATCAGTTTTAATATTTTTTTATGTATATATAATATTATACTTTATATAAATATACAAGTTTTTATTAAAAATAGTACAACTAAAAAACCAATTCAACTAATTATCAAAAGATAGTTTATCATAATACAAGTATAATTTTTAAATTTATTATTAAATAGGATTGAATACTAAACCTAATTTAAGAATTGATAACTTATTAACTACTTTAAATCATTATGCTTTCTAATTGTAAAATTATTATTATATGCAAAATTATATTATAAACAACTTTATTTAAATGAAAATAAATTATCTTAGCAAAAAAAAATTACATACTAAAATCAAAATTTTCTTTTATGATGCTAGAAACCTATACTTAACAGTTACATAAAATATTTCAAAATTTTAAATAATTATAACTTTTTATCTAAGAGGTTTTAAAAAAATCTATGTTAGCTTTACATATGTGCCCAAATATTTTGAAAAAATATTTGGGCACATATGTAAAGCTAACATAAATTTTTTTAAAACCTCTTAGATAAAAAGTTATAATTATTTAAAATTTTGAAATATTTTATGTAACCGTTGAGCATAGGCTTCCGGCACTATATTTACATGCACCATTTTTTATTAACAGATTCTATTTTGACTTTTTAAGTAAATTTTTTAGCATAAAATTATATATATAATAAATTCATATATTTTTACTATAATTTTTATAATATTTCAATGACCAATATGATCAGCTGCGTAAGTGATTGATCGGTGTGGTAATAATCTACTAATACCCAATAATACCTAAGATTTTTAAGAACTTCATTTTTAAAATTGTATAGTACCTATAAGCAGGGTTGTACATTTTTAATATCCAAGGCCTTTTTTGGCATGTCCAAATGTCCAAAGTCTATCTAAGCTTTATAAAATAAATTTATTTGCGAATAATATAATTATATATATTTTTTAGTTTTAATCATTTTTATTTAGAGTTAAAATAGATTATCTTAATAAAATTTTGAATAATTTTAATATTTAAAAATGTCCAAATTTTGTCATGGACTGTCCCGTGACGTCCCTGCCCATGAGTCAGGAACAGTGAAAAATATTAATTCTTTATAATCTACATAAATCGATATTTTTCACTGTCCCGGCCATGAGCATATACCCGGGTCTTAATTAAGGAGATTATTATTTTGAGGGGATAAGATAATAACTAAGAAAAAACCACACCTTCTTGACCTGTTAGTTACTTTTTTCGATTTGACAGGATCACCATTGACTATATTTTCATTTTTATTATTAATTAAATTTCTTTCGTATAAACATTCATATTACGTAAATTAATTTATCTACATTATTTCTCAGACAACAAATCGACGTTAACACTCTTTAAAGCGTTAACGGCCCACACAGGATATTTTTCGTTATCACCAAACAAATCCTTAAAGATTTGCTTTACAAACGATGGAAATCTATCCTCTATGATAGCCTGCCTAATATTTCTCATTAATCTTAGTTGATACGCAACATTATGAAGTGTGATCAAGTGACATCCAACAGTTTCTTTTGTTGCTTGCAAATGAATAAATGATCGAGTATACGATTTACAAGCAACACAATCACAATCTTTTTCAATAGGTTGAAAGTCGTTAGAAAATTTTACTGATCTTAGGTTTAATGAACCCTTGGACGTTAGAGCATTACCGAATCTCTATTATCAGTGTAGAGAACCGTGTTTGGATTAAAACGCGCATAACAAGTCATTATTTTATAAACTAGATCAAATATAATTTGTTATTTTACCGCAGTACGAGTTGGAAAAACACAATCATACATATCAACACCCAATGCGGAACAAACGACGAGGTCCTCAGTATAGCCAACACCCATACAATATATAGGTTTGCTCTTTGGTAATAAATCGGTACATAATGTTACTCTAATTTAGATTGTCGTAAGTCATGACATGGTAAATAATACCGAATTATGTAAATAGGATAAGAGAAAATTCAATTACCTACATTTTCCAAAAAGTATCTTTTTCTTCACCACCACTTAAACCACCTATTGCGTATCCGGGTGTATCACGTAATACCATTTCTTTTATTGTGTTGAGATCGGTTAATTAAGCCAATTAAATCAATTAGATTTGGATAATTTTAAATATAAAACAAACATTCGTTATTTTTACCTTCAACACATTTCTTTCGTAAATTAGGGTCCAATCCTCCTTGTATAATAGCAAATAAATTTTGGCTATCTGTTTTTTTATGGACACTTATACATCTGTCTAACCATCTTATTGATCTATACATTGCTTCTTCAACCCTTTTTCCGGTTGTTAATGATGATACTACATCATCTAACTGCATTATAATATCAGCACCGATAGAATTTTGTAAAGATATAGAATGTTCTGGGGTGAGCAACATTGTCGATCCATCATCATGTGGTGATTGAAATTCTACCCCTTGTTCTGTTATCTTTGCCAATTTTAACAGAGAAACCATTTGAAAACCTCCACTATCCTGTTAAATGAGTTATAGAAAATTGAAGTAATTATTAATTAGATCATTAGATCATTAATAATTAGATCTCTTACAGTTAACAAATTCCGACTCCAATTCTGAAAATTATGCGAACCACCAATTTGTTCAAGTAATTCTTGTCCGGGTTTTAAGCCCTAGATCATCAAATGTAAATGTTATTTAAGATTCGTCTTGTATTAAAAAGCAAAATTTTAAAGGTATAAATACCAAATGATATGTATTATTCAACATTATTTGACAACCCAATTCCTCCAATTGTTTTGGTGTTATGCCTTTTAACGTTCCTTGAGTTCCAACTGGCATAAACACTGGTGTATCAACAGGTCCATGAGGTAATATTAATTTGCCCACTCGAGCTTTTGTAGTCGAGCATTTGGCTATGATTTCCCAGGTTAAAGCGGATTTCATGTTTGTGATTAACGTTACAAACAAGCTCGAACCCTGGATTTTATTACCCAATAAAATTGTAAAATTTCACGTGATCGATAATATTAAAATGTATGTACTGCAGTAATGATTACATTATGGAAGAAGACGAAGAAAATTTTCTTTGGTCAAAAACATGCGATGCACATACCCACCCCCATGATGATATAGAAAGACATTCGAAAATCGGAGAGTTGAAAACTTTCAGACTTTGCTTAATGGGAACACGTTTTGAAGACTTGGACGTGGTATCACAATTGAATGCAAAGTTTCAAAGCAAGGTTGTACCCTGCTTTGGTAAAGATTTAACATATTTTTTATTCCTGACATAACAAGCAAATATTATGAACTCTTAATAATGAAATTTACGACAAAGGTTTTCATCCTTGGTTTGCCCACCTATTATCTCTTGATAACGATCCACCGGAAAATGAAACTCATTACCGTTCGGTTTTGAATGACATTGGTCCCAAAGGCTCTATAAATTGTAATATAGAGCCATTGCTTCCATTTCTACCTCCACCAAAGCCATTCAATGTTTGGTTTGATAAGCTTGAAAACTTGATAAAAATTAATAAGTCGGCACTTATTGGTGAGGTTGGTTTAGATAAATCAGCACGTTTGACTGATCCAAAAACACAATCTCTCAGCAAAGTTCAAACAACAATTCAACATCAAATTGCAATTTTGGAGAAACAATTAGATTTAGCAGCAAAGTATAATCGAGCAGTGAGTTTGCATTGTGTTCAAGCAACCGGTCAAATAATAGAATTACTTGATCGTAAAGTTCTTTCACAACAGCCACTACCGCCACGAATTTGCATGCATTCCTATGGAGGTTCTGTTGATACAATCAGAATTTTGACAGCAGCTCGACCGAAAAAGAAAAAGAAGCTACAAGTTGAAATTTATTTTTCTTTCAGCATAGTAATTAATGAACGATATTCTCGGTTACATGATCTAATAAGAGCTGTTCCAGAGGATAAGTTGTTGATTGAATCCGATTTTCATTCTCCTGATGGATTAGATAATTTAATGGAAAGGATAGCCTTACTTGTTAGCGAGGCTAAAGGGTGGACACTTACAACAACATTAGAAAAAACTTTTCAAAATTTTCTAAAATTTATTGGAGAATAATAATTTCATAAACGAAAAATTTGCAATAATATGGGTTTCAAATAGCGTTTTTCAGAATAAATGAGAATATTAACAATCTTGTCTGTGTTCCAAAACTTTGAAATCGGAAATGAATAGGTGTAGTTAGAGCCGCCATTTCACAAAATTAGTAACCTTTTTATTGAAAAATATCATTGATTCAAATTTATCAAAAAGTAAATACGTTATTTATTTCTATCAAAATCAATTTCCTCATTTTAATTATAAAATCTCTTAATAAAAATTGTTTATCTTGTACTCGAATTAAAATATAATTAGTTTAGTAAGAAGCCTTAAAATTTAAACATGTAAAATTTAAGCTTAAAATATTTATTTATATATTATAGCATATTTTTTACGTGTAGTATATTCTATATTCACATTTTTTATCACATGAAATGTGTTATTTCTACGTTGTACCAATCGTTGGGGTGATCATCATACTAGTAAAGTCTTATCAATTAGGGTCGCGTAAATTTTTTATGAAAATCCGAATTTACTGCGGATAATATCAACTTTCGGTATGCTTTTCTCTTGAACTAGTATACGTAATAATTAATGTCTAATTTTTTTTTAAAAAAGATAGACTTTAATGTAATAGCGCCATTTTTTCGATTTACGCTATTTTATCCTATTAATAGCGTAAATCGAAAAAATGACTCTATTACATTAAAGTATACAATTTGCTCTATCTTTTTTTTTAAAAAAATTAGACATTAATTATTTCGTATACTAGTTCAAGAGAAAAGCGTACCGAAAGTTGATATTATCCGCAGTAAATTTAAAAAATTATCACACAATTAACGTTAATGTTTGATTTACTAGTATGATCAACCCAACCAATCGTTAATTGCCTACATAACATTTGGGTTCATTAATTGTCTACATAACATTTTGGGTTCATTAATTGTCTGCATAACATTTGAGTTCATTAATTGTCTACGTGGTATTTTAGGTTCATTAATTGTCTACACTAGCCTGAAATCAATAATCAAGTTCGATGCATTAAAAAAATTTACACTGTTTAAAATATCTGGGTACTTTACACTCTACCCTTAATTGAGGGGAAACGTACGTAAAGAGTAGATGTATTGTTTAAAATAAGAGGCACAATACGTACCAAAATCATTTGGGGGTATTTTATTAGATAAGATTCCAGATTTTCATTTGTAGATCATAGTGTTACATTAAGTTACATCATATAAATAAGTATGAATTCACACGATTTTCTAACTTCAAAAATTTTTTTTTTTTTTTTTATGCTGTATAAACCTCTTCGTTTTTTGGTTCATTTGAAATGAGTTCGTTTAATGTTATATCTACTGCATCCAAACCACATGCACCCTTAACTCCGATATCTTCGGCACCCAAGTTGTACAATACGAAATTTCGCCATATGCATATTCTTGACACGCTAGCTTTTGACGCGTTGAAAGCAAGAATTACGGTTTTTCAACTATATCTTTCACAGAATAATCCAAGCAACGATTCATTAAGTGCTTGTAAAAAACAGGCAAAAAAAACCTGGGAGCAATTTGAAAGTATGAATCTTTTTCAAATGCTTAATTTTTTTCGTTTCTTGTTCATACGGCGTATTATGTAATGCAGTACACTAAACCAACATATATACCTTTTTTATATAATAGATGCTAAACACAATTTATTAACTAGCGACCTTTTTATAGAAACTTCGAATTTTGATATTTTTTTAAAAGACCTTGTTAGTTTAATGGTACACCGTTGCAATCTTGCAACCTTTTCCCATATTATGTTTCAACAATTGAACCCAACTCTTGAAACTCTTTATATTGCAACGGATTCATTTAAATATATCATGCCTGAGAACTGGAGTATTGTAGAATGGGAATTGAATCTGGATCTTAAGACACAAGTTAGTAGTATTATTATTTTTTTTTTTCAGATTATAATTCGTACGACTAATTTTTCTTTATAACTATAGTTATATATCCGTGCATCAAATTTTTCCAAAGACAATTATCTGGACAAGATTTTCCCGCCTAATGCTGAACAACCTTCAAGTCGTCTTACCCAATATTTAGAGAGAAGAGATGTGGTATTTAATTATAGTCTAGATTTTTCTTTTGCGCATTATGGTTGAATATATAATTAAAAATTTTTTTTTTCAACCCTCAAGTTGGCAAACAATGATTTCAACACTTTATCTTCAAAATACCCTTGTAAAAAATTTATGAGTAATTTTTTTGATTATATATGTAATCTTTCGGAAAAGTTCGATCTCCCGATAATCGTTCTGGTAAGCATATTAATTAAATAATTAAATCATTTAAATTATAATTTATCGTATAATCAATTAAATTGTAATTTATGATATAATCAATTAAATTGTAATTTATGTATGATCAATTTTATGTTACATTTAAATTAGGAGACTAAAGACGTTCTGACTTCTCAAATGGAACATAGCCCTGAAAGTTCACAGGTTGCAACACAAGATCAAACCATTGAGAATGATTACGGCACTCCTTCTATTGATCAATCAGATGGTTTAATAAGGCCAACGTATTTATCATCTCTTTTTATTTTATTTATAATTTTTGTTTTTTTGACGTTGACTAAATAAATGTAATTTATATATAACTCATTGCTATATTCTTCATTCAAGTATCCGCTCAAATAAGTATGTCGAATCATTTCGTAGATTTCATAAATTCTCTGAGCAAGAATTAAATCAACAATTAGAACAATTTAAAAATCGGTAAATTTATTCAATAGTTTAAAATATTTACGGAATTTTTTTATGACTATAAATAAGTTAACATTATTTCCTTTTCAAGTGCAACTGATGATCATGAAATAACTGTTCAATCTACTGACATGGAATTAGACGGTTTTACATCGATGGATCCATTAATAGGCTCTTCATCCAATGTCATAAGTAACATAAGTAACAAAAGCCCATCAAAATCAAAATCAGTTGTTGAGACTGTTGAAAGACAATCATCAATGATTGAAAGACAATCATCAATAATTACAGCTCCTGAGTCACCAGAAATTCCACAAGATGAAGATATGATTGTTGAACCTATTGAACTGAATAACAATAAGGGTTCACCTAAAAAGAAAAAATCAAGTGCATTACGACAAGGTGGTTGGACTCAGAGAGAGCTAAATTTCCTTATTAAGGGAATGGAAAAGTATGGAACTAGTTGGTCAAAGATAGAAAGAAAATATGGAAACTCTGGGGGTCCGCTTAGTAGGCGAACACAAGTGAACATGAAAGATAAAGCACGATCAGAGTTAGATCGACGATTAAGGTGTGGATTGTCACCTGGAGTATTTAGTCAAGTGAGGTAAGAAAAGTGATACTATTTAATTTATACATTATTAAGCATTAATACAATATTTTTGAAATTAGTGCGCATAACAAAATTTCGAAAAGAGCAAGGAAAACCCCACAAGAAGATAATTATTAGTAGAATTATACTTGCCGTTCCAATCGCAAATCATTATAGCTTGGGCTTGTCCACGCCTAAGTCCCAAACTCTGGCCAAACTTAATCTCATTAATAATCTTTACCTAAACAAATAAAATATATTCTTGTATGGAATATATTTGTAAAATATCAAATGCATTTTTTCATTTAAATTTTTTTTTACGAATAGCAATTGCTTTTTTTGAGGTTTGGTTTGTCCAGGTTTTACTGGAAGCATAAGTAGAATTTAATAATTTTGGACATTTGAATTAAATTGCAAAAGATTTATTCACACAAGAGGAATAGGAAGTAGATTAATTCAAAAATTTATTCATTTTAACATTGTTTGAGACATTTGAATTAGTTTGCAAAGGATTGGTTGTTGTTTGTAAATGGGTTGATTTATTGTAGGAATATATTATAATAAAGCATTACATTTGATTAGATTCGTTTATCATTAATTGAAATGATCAAAAAAATGTTTATATGAATGATATGAAATTTTCAAGCAAAAAATCAACTTTTAGAACTTCCAACACCAGGATCAACTTCATCGTTGTTCAGATTAATCCAATTGTTCTCAATTGAAGAATCAGTTTCCCCTTCATATCCGCTATTTTCGGTTTTCTCACAATCTTCTGAACTAAAATAATCTTCCCATTTCTCAACAAAAGTTTTGAAGTGTTGTATGATAATTGGACTCATTTCCTTAGTTAATGCTTTCACAAATTGTGTATTAACAATGAACATTCCTAACCCACAAAAAATAAATACATATTTCCAAGGTACGATCCATACGGTTAAACTAGTTACTACTAAAACCACCATTACAACCTGCATTATCATCAATGTCTCACATTCGTTACTCCAATCAACATGCTTAAGCAAATCAACTGCTACATCGTAACCATCCGAAATCAATCCCATTAGATTTTGAATATTTTGCATATTTTTCAAATAATCAACTGAATTCTCCGCTGGAAGATAATCATTTAACCGTTCGAATCGTTTAAATTTAATACGAGCTTTTTTCTTTGTTTGTGATTCATTAGGAAAATTATAAATCAGAACTGCAAGGAAAGCTACTAATGGAGCGAGAATTAATAATTGTGGATATAAACCTATGTTAAATGAAAAAAAAATTTATTATGATTATTAAAAATTAATAAATTGTAAATAAATTATTAATCAAGAATATTATAAAAATTTACATATATAAACGTAAATAACCATGGTTAATAATGTATCCGGAGGATTTTTCCATAGAAATATATCTTCAGCAAAATCTTGAATAACGAAAATGAAACCACATTTTTGAACAAATTTTCTAAAATTATCACCAAGTAATTTTATATTTAAAGGAGGATGAATAGGATCAGAAGGCATTTTAGTAGAATTTGCGACATTTAAAGCTGAAGAAACTAAAAGATCTTGAATTATTTTTGTATCAAATGATGTTTTTACTGATGATATAGGTCGGGCAGCTTGAGGTGTTATTGAATCAACTGAATTAGCACGTCTTAATTTGATAGGTAGTTTATGTTCTTTTGATTTATTTGAATTATTTTTATCATTATCATCGTTTGAATCAGAATCAATCATGGTACGTAATAAAAAAAATGTATAGAAAAATGCTCGAATTTTCCAAAAAAAAATTGTATGGTAAAAAATTATACCGATACTCTATTGAGACTTTACAAATATCGATATAAATTATGTCGCGTGTAACTGCAGTTTATATGTAGTACAGTATGTACAGGATATCAATTTTAATTGGTTTTTATCGTTATGACTTAATAATTAAATCAAAAAAACCCTCTACGTATCATCAAATTAATAATTTTTAAGTCTATTATATTTCTGAATGGATATTTTCTGGAATTCCTTTTTAACAGTTAAAATTTTACGTATAAACTAAATAAAACTAAATGATAATGATACAGTGCAAGTCATCTAATATATTAAATGTTGCGCCACTAAGTAAAGTACAATACGTATTACAAACCTAATAAATTTTTTTTGTTACACGCGTAGAAATAGAATATCAATATTCAAAATCTAGAACTTGCTATGCCAATATAATCAATAAAAACTATAGCTGCAAACATCTAGAAGGCTAAGAGAAAACCAGACTTTGCCTAGTTTTTTCTTAGTGCTACCCATATAATACTTAAGTTGTCTTATTAAAGATATGACCAGTAAATTGTACAGTAACAGTGGTTTTTGCCTTGCTTTACAACACTATGAGTGAAAAGTCTAAACCTTATATGGAACCTTTGATTCAAATTAGATGAACCATTTACTACTAAAATAAATAAATTTAAAAAAGCTTTCAACTACTGTTCTAGCATTACCAATCTAAAATATTTTACTGGTCAATAAGATTTCAAGATTAGATGTAATGCAAAAGAATTGTAAAAAAAATCAATGCAATGTAAAAAATTACTCATAACTTATTTTTCTATAAAACTATTTTTGTGCACTAAAAAGTTTTTTTTTGTAAAATTTTAGTATTATTAAAGCTTTTTCTAACTAGCTTAATAGAAAACCTAACTTTAAAATTTTTATTAATTGGATGTAATGTAAAAGAATTATAAAAGATCAAATCAACATAAAAAAATCACTTATAACTCAAACATTTTCTTTATAAAACCATTTTCTGTATATTAACAAAAAGTTTTCTTTACAAAATTTTGGTACGTATTATTAAAGTTTTTTTAACTAACTTAATAGCAAACCTATCTCTAATCTAAGAGTAAAATTTTTTTAATAAAATTTTTTAAATTGACAATATTAAATCAGTTTATAAGATGTAAACACACTGATTACAAAAACACTTGTGCAATAGTATCTAAACATTTTTAATATTAATTTATAAATCCATTGCTGATTGATTTTATTGGTCTAAAATAGGATGTATATTTTAAAAAAACCTAATTAAACTATGTAGTAATGCCATGTTTTAACAAAATAGTTTGTTGATTATTAGAAATCTATATAGTTTTAGGTAAGATTTCATCAAGTTCATCGAGTTTGTTAAAAAAAAAAAAAAACTATTGTTTAATTGCCTTAGTTTATTTATCTTATTTATAAATGATAATCTATTAGAATATAATAAATAAATATTAAACCTTGATGTAAAAAAAATTACTTCTTCATTTTTCTTGAAAAGCGTTCTCTATATATATTTTACCTGATTTTCTAATTTTATTATTGCAATAAATTATACATTAGCCACCAACATGCTCAAAATTAGCTGATTTTAAATAATAATTAAATGCTATATAATTGTTCTTTTCGACTCCAATTCCTTTTAGATAGCAGTTGCCAACTTAAAGCATTCCATCGGAGTTACTCATATCAGCTGATTTTTGATAATAAATGAATGTTTTATGTGCATCCTTTTCAACTTTATATCCATAAAGGTATAAATAACCAGCCTCATACATTCCTCCATCATCTGTCAAATTAGCTGATTTTTGAAAATATATTAATGCTTTATGTTCATCTTTCTCTACTCCTATTCCATAATAATATCCGGCATTGTATGCCCCATCAATGTGTCCTATATCTGCAGATTTTTTATAATGAATGAATGCCTTTTGTTCATCCTTTTTGACTTCTCTTCCTTTATGATAATGACCAGCAGCAGTATAATAAATAAATAAACGCTTTAAGTTTAATATTTTTATCATCATTTATTCCATTTTCGTAATAAAAATGAGGTTTGTTTATTCCACTAGCATTTTCCATTTCAATAGATTTGTTGTAAATTTTTTTCGACACCAATTTCATTTATATAACAAACAGCAGTTTGGAACATTTCCTGAAAATAATTTTTTATTTGATAATAGGAGAATGCCATGTTCTCATCTTTGCAACACCAATTTTATACAAATAACAATCACCAAGTAATAATAATGCAAAATCATTTCCCATCTTAACAGAATTTTGGTAATGATTAAATGCCTTATAATCATCTTTTCAACTCCGATTCCATATTGATAACAATTAGCAAGCGCGTATAATCCGGAAGAATCTTGAACATTCCATCAATATGCCATTACAGCAGATTTTTGATAATAAATGAATGCTTTACGTTCATTCTTCTCAACTCCCATTCCATGATAATAACAATCGCCGAGTTTAGCCATTTCTTTAGCATCTAATTGCTCAATATATTCTAGTTGGACAATAGAGGTCTGACGTTCTTCATCTTCACTTTCATTTAAATTAACCTCCGAGTTCACAATAAGTAAACTTTCGCTATTTTCTTGTATAAATGGTTACCTTGTAATTAATAAAATTAAATTATAATCTTCAAAAATATTTGGACAAAGAAGAAATGAATCTAAATATTTAAATCACGAAAGCAATGATTACCTGGATTATTATGCTGTTTATCAGAATCGAAGATATTCCTAGATTATAGACAGTCGAATTGTTTGCTATTATAAATTACTACAAGAATGAATGTTAGAGTTAAACAAAACTGATGCGTTAGATATTAAATCATCAGCTTTCTTTATTTCTGCAGTGAATTCATTTGATTCTTTGTTTGTAATATAATTGCACCAAGTATTTATAGTGTCATTTGTTTCTTTAAAAGTAGGCCTTTGTTCTAATTTAGCACTCCAGCATTTATTAATCAATTCAGCTATTAACTTTGGTATCATAGGAAGATATTCGCATGATTGGTTAATTTTTGTAGATCGACCCGTGATTCCCATAATAATTAGCCAATCAGATTACATAATTTAATCGAACGAATTCATAAACTTTATACTACATACTAGCGAAACTTATATAATATTTTTTTATATTTAATTGTTATATTTTTTATTCTTAACTTTAGTATAATCATCTATAATTAAGGTCTCCAATGTTATCCTAGTGACCTTAATTACTATAAGCGCAGTATTTTTATAGTTTAAATCTATGTAGCCGCTTTTTGTTCGGAAATTTTTAGCATTAGTCTAAATTAGAAGTTAATTTTGCCTGAAAAATAGGTTTTCCGTATGTGGCCGCTTTTTGAATAATTTCCAAAAAAGGAAAATTTTGCCCAATTGAGTTTATCCGGATCTAATTTTTGGCCCTGTAGAATACCCGACATGGCGTAGTGAAACCTCGAAGTACAAGACTAGCAAAAAAATTTCGCACATCATGTGATCTTATTGCAAAACCAAGAAAAAAAACTTCGCTAAGAAAAAACATTTCGCAATTGGGGTATTACAAGTAGATTAGGTTTAGAGGGTTGCAGGTATACCAAAATTTTGCAAGGAAAACATTTTCTTAATACGCAGAAGGTAGTTTCATAGACAGAATTACGAGTTACTGACGATTTTTGGTTTCTTGAACTTTTTCACGTTACACCTGATCTCGAAATTTGATTGGCCAGCGAAATTTTTAGACTGGTATGTCCCTTGAAGCGCTTTTTGATCACTAAGTAGTTTAATTAGAAGCCGCTTTTTGATTTACCGGCAGTTTTTCGAAACTAATGAGAATGACGTAATTTAATTTCTTTACTATACTTATTAATATCTTTATACTGTGTGTATTTTGTACATTTTTTATAATCATCATATCTATTAGAATTAAATTTATTGATTGTATTTTTAATTGTCAGTTTTCACAAATATTGTTAAAATCATTTTTTGAATATTAATTAATGTATGTGTTGAAATTCTTTAATGTAATTGTTGATATTCTTATTTTTCATTTGACCATCCTTGTATTGTTTTTGATGGTCATCTGTTTGATATTAGTAGTTGTTTTTTGGCGCTCTTTTACTATAAATACCTTTTTTAAAAGATTTTGAATATTTTGCGTTCTATTTAATATTTTAAGTGTATTTATGCTTTTGGATGTGTGTGATTGTGTATATCCATATTTAGAATTAAATATCGTACGTATTCAATTTGATCACGTAGAAAGTTTTATTATTCCGATTTGTTAGTTTGACAATTTTGAGAATGATTATTTAAATAAGAGCGAAGGTTATTTTTATTAGTGAATTGAGAACTATAATATAATTTTTTTTCATATTTAATTTATTCGTAATGAATAGTTAGTTTATAGAACTGAATATATTTCTAAATCATATTATATACAACTATATTAATATTTTTGTGCCAAATTAAGAAATTTCGGCCTAAATGAGTTTATCCGGATCTAATTTTTGGCCCTGGCCATCTAACAAAATTGCTTCCACTTAGCGAGACTCGGTGACTTACATTTTTATGTAAGGCTAATAATATATCGTTTTACAAAATTAATAAAAATTTATCATCAATTTTATAACATAAATATTTATTTAATTAATAAAAATAAAATATATAAATATATAAATAAAAAACTTAATTGGACTACTATAATGTTCATATAATTAATCGAAAACGATTAACATAAATAATATAAGAAAATAAATTAAATAATTCCTTTTATATTTCATATATCTTTTGTTTATCTTCTAATTCTTTAATTTTCTTTTTCAATTTTTCATTTTCATCTTCAAGTTTTACGATTTTATTTTTTTGGTATATTTTTTCAGCCTCTTCTCTTTTTCTTTTCTTCTTATTTTCGAAAATTTGTTTATATTTAGCTTCATATTTTTTAATATTTTGAGATGTCTCATTATAACCACAAATAATAACACGATCTTTTTCATCAAAATTTACAATCTCATTTTCTGCATGTTTTGATAAAGTTGCAGTAGTGATCAAAAGACAAAGTTCATGTTTAGGTCTTGAACGAACAGTACTTATAAATTCACGTATCTCTTTTACATCTAAATACGATCCATCTTTTTTCCATTTTAATTGAGCCATATAATGAAGAGTCAAATAACGACCTAAAAAAAAATAAATATTAGATGCTTTGTAATTATCAATATTTACATTGGGTGATTCCTTCGTATAACCATGGACAACTTTACACTCTATGAGATACCGTGAACCAAAACAGGATCACTCTCAACAGCGTGACACACTTAACAAAAATTATTTAGTAAAATAAAAAAATACTTACCCATCAAATCAATATTTCCATCAGATACTTCTTCCCAATTTTTATTTCCACAAGAAATAGATGTTGAATGAATCCAACATAAAATACCATTATTAATCAAAAGATCATATACAAAAAATTGAAATATATTTCCTTTTTGCACAGCATTAAATTTCATAAATGTTTCTAAACTATATTTATATTTAGAACCTAAAAATGAAGCAAAATCATCATTATCTTGAGTTTCGATTATTATTTGTTCCATTATTTTTTATTAACTGAAAAAAAATACTTATCATCAAAAATTTTCGATTTATAATATTGTTATCATTTTTTTAATTATTCCTTTTTAGGTTCATACAAAACGGAATTTTGGAGATCTGGTGGAGATTTATGTCCGTAAACAAGGATGCGATATAATATTTATACTAGGCTAATGCGTAGCACCCGTAAAAATTTTTATATAAATTAATGCAAATTTAGGATGATAAAACAAATTATTGCGCTTTGCAAAAAGGTGTGACCTCTGCAGATCATCGTGTAATGCAAATTCGCGGAAAATTAGATGATTTTTCGATTCTAAGAGAATTATACAGATTTCACGAAAATCGTGGGGTCACACCTTTTTGCAAACCGCTATAATGCAAATTTATACGATTGTATTATTGGCTAATAGCAGATTACTAGCCAATTAAAATAGTTATAACCGAATAGGCTTTAATGAGAGTGTAATACGAATAGTAGTGGTGTATGGTTTAGTTAAGTAGTAGAGTAGAATACATAGCAAACATGTGAGTATGGATGATTAGGTCACAACTGAGTATTTAAAGTAATATATCATGTATAGTATGCAAATGTATACGTATAAAATTTATGCAAACATAACGTTAGAGAAAACTAGACCTTAACACCAAAAAAAAAAAAAAAAGAGAAAACTAGACTTCGAGCTTTAAAACTTATAAAATCGGTTCAGCAAATCTGGTGTCATCATGATAATCCGAACTGCCACGAAAGTTAACTCTATAGATTCATATGCCGACAAAAAATTAAGATAGCCATATGTAGAAATACAAGAAAACAACATATTCACGCTATAGTGAAGTTTTTACTACACCTATAGGCTCGAAAATATTATATAATTGATTCTATTATATCAAGAGTTCACTCTAACAAAGGTGAGCTGTATTTGGATACTGGTTCTTTTCGTTATTTAACTCGTGAGTATATTTTTAGAAATCTACAACCTTTTATGGCTTAGTTTTAATTATTTATTTGTGTTAATTTGGGTCATGATTTAAGGGATTGGTTCATGATTGAAGAGTGATTCGTTTATAAATCCAGTTACAGCGAAAGTTTACTATAACGGCTTTATGAACTTTGAAAATTTTAATTTTATATTATTGAGTTTGCGACATATAGATAGATTTTGTATACTTAATAATTCAATATCAGTTGAACAATTTAGTTCATGTTTACTGTTCATTTTAAATCTGATCAAGATTATTAATCAAGTTTCTCTTTAGAATCAGGCCTACCGAATAATTGATAGTGAGGGCAATTAATTGCAACTGTTTGAACCCAATTAATTGATTTCACAGAAAGCCAATTAATTGCAATTTTTGCAGTCATTTGAAAATTGTAATGACTTGATAAATATGTAATAATAAACATAAGTATGAGATATTTGACGTCAAAACTTGTAGTTTTTGAATTAAATTGTACAAACAACAAATATTAATTTACATTTCCTTACAAATATATGTATATAGTACAGCATTCTAAATTTTTTTTTTTAAAATCGATTTCAATGAATACCAAAGTTCTAAACGAATGTTATATAAATGCTTTTTTAGACCTTCAAATGACGGCAGACATTAGTGTAATTTATATTCTTCCAGTCATAATCGATAGTGTTCTTCTAGATCATAGCCGATATCAAAAAGAGACCTTCAAATGATGGCGGGCATTAATGCAATTTATGTTCTTCCAAATCACAGTCGATAATCCCTTTTTAGACCTCCAAATGATGATAACATTCTTTCGACGATGCCTTTTTTAGACCTTCAAATGATGGAAAATATTAGTGTAATTTATGTTCTTCCAGCAGTAGTTGATAATGTTCTTCCAGACTATTTTATATATTAATATAATATATTATGAGTATAGTATGCTAATTTTATATACTCAAATGCGATTTTTGCAGTAAACTCCACTACTTTACTAAACTATACACTACTACTATTCGTAATATCATTAATGAGAATGTCACAAAATAAAGTGCAGAAACTGATTCACGTTTGTTATTTAATTGAATCATACATCTTTACCAAAAGAAGTATAAACATTAAATAATTTTTTTTTTACTGTTAAACTAAAAAAAGTAATTAAAGGTTTGTAATAAAAGAGAAATTAATTGAAAAGTAAAATATTTATAAAAAGAATACATGTGAAATTATAATGTAATTTATTTAAGAAAAAATATATTTGTTTATATAGCTTATTGCTATTTTCAAATTAGTATAGTTATTGAAATTCATGAGTTTATAAATCTTACATAATGCCTATTATAGTTTGCAACACAATAAAAGATATAAAATCTCTATTGTTTAGCAAGCAGAATAATTTTTTTTTATTTCACATTATCTTATTATGACATAAAAAAAAACAATTTCAACTATTCCTTGAGCAAAAGAATTTTTATGCAGAAAATAATCTTATATATCATTTTTGTAATCATAGCATTAATTTTAATAATATTACCTTTATTATTTCTTATCATGATAGTAAAGTTTATCAAAATTTAAGAAGAAATTATTTAAGTTTACAATGTACTAATAAATAACAATCTATGAAAAGTTTAATACAAGCTAATAAGTATAAAAATTATATTATTCATAATTTATTAAAAGTATAAATTAGTGTCAATATATTTATAGAAAACATGAATTCTTTTTAACAATCATCTGGACCAAATTTTCCAAAATGCTGAACTACAGAAAAATGATGTAGTTAATATATTAAACTTTATGAAAACTTCTTTGAAACATTGAGCATACATAGTGGACATTGAAATAGAGTTGAAAAAGAAGTTATCATTTTGTGATAATGATTTAAAAGAGTTCTGGAACCATAAAAGAAGTGGTTAGTGAAAGCTGAAAGTCTCTTATACAGTAAACAATAATGTTGGATATATTATTTCTATACAACTATAAAACTTACAAGGAACTCTTAGAAGAGTTAAGTATTCACAAAAGTTATAGTTTAGTTCACCTCATAATTTCTCTTTTTTTTAAAAAAAATTTTGTAAAAAGTGAGTGTTTCAGTTTATTTCTTCCAAAAGATCAATATTTAAAATATCAAAACAGTCAGCAGTATTTATTTTCTAATTTGATTGTATAAATAATACAGCAATACAAACATAACTTATACACATGTCTTGAACTGCTGAAACTCCATGAAATATTGTCTCTGAACTAACCAGTATCTTATACTAACTCTCTATATTCAAGTTAAAGTTTTATTCTACATGGTTTTTGTTAAATATTTTAGTAAATAGAAAAATAGTAGAGTTATTTCTATTTAGTATAATTTATAATTTTTAAAAGCCTGATATAAGCTTATAATTATGACTATTTGATAATTATATAATAAGAATTATACATATTTTTTTTTTTTTTCTTTTTTTTTTTTTTTATTTCTTATATTTGTATTTTTTATTATTTATTCCTATATCTTTGTGTTTTTTTATATAAGTTTTTTTTATTTTTGTTCATTTCTTTACAAGAAAATATTATCAAATTGGCAATATTCTATTGTCAAGCAGTAGTTGGATGTAACTCCTAATATATTCTAATTTTTTTTGAAGTTAAACAGTCAGTATAGATAAATCATTTATAGGGATTTATAGAAGTACCTGTGTGATATTGAGCCAGAATTTATAAATTAATTTGTATTATATAATACAAAAATACATAATAAAGATGATCAGCAAGACTGCTCAAGTGAAATATATATATATTGTTAACCTACAAAAATGACCATAACTCTTGAACCACTAGACAGAATTTGATGAAACCATCACCATTCGAATCAGCTCACTGAGATGGTTCTAATAAGATATAGATCATTCATTTCCGATCACAGAATTACAAGATCGAATCCAATAATCCAATTAATAAGAAAACTGCAATCTGATTGGTTAAT